AGTCCAGATTGTCCATGGCAAACACATGGGGGATCTCGCTGTTTTTCCATCATGGTCTCTGGGACGTAAACACCATCAGTTTCAACCTGCTGCATGACCTTCTCAATTTGTGCTGTGAGCTGACGCTGCATACGTTCATAACTGATCCCAAGCCCCAATCTGTTATTCATCATAGTGAGTGATTTACTACGTGTCTGGTTGAATAAGTGGTAGGTAGTGGCTATGCCCAAAGGTGTTGATACACCAGAAACATGCCGGAGGACGTGCTGTGACATAATGATGGCTTTCTCTGCTGTTGGCTGATCAACAATGACTCTTCCATCATCATTGAGTTCCACTATCTTGTCATTAAGCAGCATGGCTGTGAAGTTGAAGAGTGAGTCAGGAACCATGTCATTAGCAGATTTGAAGGATATCTCAGTTGAATGCTTCTCATGAGTTTGCCTCTTGCAATTCACACAGTCTGTTCGAAGAATCTTTGCAGCTTGCCGCAATGCATGGTATTTCTCGTCCTCCTTATGGTCTGCTTCTAGTCGCCTCAGCTTCTCAAGGGCATCACCGAGGGGTACAGCTGATGCACATATGAAGCCTGAACCACAGGTCTGGTCAAGGATTGAAACACGTCCAGCAAAGTGTTGCTGCAGCTTCAATTTCAGTGTAGTCGATCGGTACTGATCTGCCGTTTTGATACCAAGCTCCCTCAGAATTTCTCGGTACCGGTCACACAATGATTTCACAAGGAATCCTCGACATTTCCGGTGCAACTTTGGTGTTCTGTCTTCAAACCATTTTTCTTCTGCAGACGCATAGTGCAGTCTATGAAAGACCTCGTCTTGTCTAGCATTCATGGCTTTTATAAACTTTGAAATTGTTGATGGATTAATACAGTACAGGTCTATCGTAGAGTGTTCTTGACATATAAGACACTTTTTGTAGTCAGAGGTTTTGTCTTCACAGCTCTTCTTACATGGTTAATGCTTCAGTGCCATAGCAATGTCTGCCACACGTTTCTTCGGCTGGCTTGTAATCTTGCTACAGGCTTAGATTACTATTTTTGACAGGCCAATACCACTGTAATAATTTAGTAGTGGATACAATTGACTGATTACAATAGAAAGTTTATAGAAATTACAATATTTTAAGCATATGCAGTACAGTCTGTCTTAATACTTAGTACTCACTATATCCTTTCCTCTTGCTACTTAACCTCTTAAACACAGGGCCTATTTTTCAGGCCTCAGACTCGAAAATGACATGCCCAGAATGAATGAGTATTTTTCACAACAAAAAGGGGTATATGAATAATCTTGTTATCAAAGCAATGATACACCTCATTTCAAAGTGACACAGAGACATTGCATTAACCTTTAGCAGCGTTGTTATGCCCTTGAACACAACTTTTGAAACCTCAAATTTCACCCTTATTCCACCTAGCTTAAAGTGAAGTTGTTTGTTGCTCTTTCCTGGCTGCAAGCTCAGTGAGTTTTGGTCGTACAGTGATGAGACTTATACCAATGGAATATGTGGAATCTCGGCTTTCATATGACATGTCGTTTGTTCATAGCATGAAGTAAAGAAATTGCCACTAATGTAGCGTTAGCATGTTTTCATTGTAGACGATTTAGACGCTTGGTGTTGGAATTGTGTTCCGTTTAGGTAAAAATTGTTATTATGGTCTGTTAACTGAGTTTCTTCCCGTTAAGTGGGTATGCATTATTAATAGGTTGTTAAATGTTAACACTGTAAAACTGATTTACAAATTATTAAAGAATTGTAGTTTACAGTAACAGTGCTGGCTAGCTAGCTAGCTAGCTTAAAATCCTCTCACTTGCTGGAAAATCTGTAAACATTGAATCAATTCAAATTAGCATCGGCAGTAAACCTTCTGTATATTAAAGTAAACCCTTCAATATGTTATATAGAAATAATCTTTTAAGTATATTTACTCCAATCTGCCAACACTCTCACATCATTCAAACAATCCCTCAAAACTCACCTTTTCACTCTTGCCTTCAACTCCTAATCCACTAACCCCTCACCCTTATTCCACCTAGTTTAGCACCTTTTACTTTTGTTGTTATTTTTCCTCTTTACTTGCTTGTTAAGCGCTTTGAGCACCAGGAAAAGCGCTATATAAATCAAATGTATTATTATTATTATAATTAATACCCATTTTGAACACAGCAAATAATCCAGAGGACCACAAGTGCATTGCTTGAAATGGATTTCGCTTTGGAGAGAGAAAAAAGGCACAGTTTCATCTAGTGGCCTTATTGAGAACAGGCTTAACCAAGGCATCACCTGAAAGCTTATGTTCTGCTCTTTCAATCGGTTGGCTCAGTTTGTCTTTACCATGAACTGTCACAGAGATATTCAATCAGAAAGAGAATGATGGCATCTGATCCAGCCAGAATTTTTGACTTTTTTTCATATAGGGGTTGCATTGTTTGGACCCTCACTGTAGCTTTCCAGTAGCTAGTTGACCGGGTTGTCCACCCAGGTTGTGATCCTTGAAGGTCCTAGATATCATTTCTGGTGGACAACCTTTTACAACATTCCATGTCTGATTTCCGAAAAAATGGGGTTTTGCCCCCTGGGTATAATGTAAAAAAAACAACAGCTGTGCACGTACATGACAACACAAACAAAATAAACAATGCAATACAGCTATAGATACAAATAGAGTAATAATATTAAAACAATTATTTAAAAAAATGCAGTTGGGAGCAGAGGGCGCGTTAACCGAATATTTTCCGTCTATGACGGATTCTTTTTAACAATGACGGAAAAATCTGAAAGCAGTCCGTCATTTTGACGGATTAGAACAAACTCGGAACAGCGCCAAAGTTTCCCCGCAGCGAGGCTCTGGTGTGATACCGTTTCCAAACCTAACTATGTCGAACAAATCATTGTAATTTCTGCGAGTTTTTGCTTTACGCTGTGCACGCTCACATGACGCGAAGTCATGTTTATCTAGATCATATTTATCCTTAAATGAGCTCCCCTCTGTATCCTCCGGTATGCCGAAGGTTCTGATGTTCTTTCTTCTTGATCTTCCCTCCAAGTCCGTTCATTTTCCTAGCATCTGCCGTGTATGATCCGACATTCCCCACAGTGCACTGTTAGCCACTGACTGGCACTCTTCCAACTCAGCTATGCATGACTGGGCTTCGCTAACACTCATTTTCTGTGTCTGTAGTTCGTTGTGATTTTCTGTGAGCTTACTGTATAATTCTTGCCGGAGGTTATTGATTTCTTCCTTCACCTCCTTCTCAGTTCATCTTTAAATGTGGATAGCTGGTGTCGTAGATCCTGCTTGAGCTCTCGGATATCATTGCTAATAGCTGCTAGCCGGCACGTAGCATATCTGCTTTTTCCTGTGGCTCCGGTGTCTCTGTTAGCTCTTCCTCGTGTTTGCTAGCTTCGGAGGATTCATCCATTTCGGGTTGTTCTCCTACTTTTTCTTGCTTTTTGTACTTTTCTGGCTTTTCCGATTGTTTGTCCCACTAATTTCTTACTTTTTTTTGTCGAGTAGTTGACTTTGTGAGAGAGTTGGTTAACTTGTGTCCTCTCACTCCACCATCATACCGGAAGTCATGCTGACTGTTTCTTAAAAAACTGTAATAGATGTTAGTTGTAAAAAGTAAATGTATGTATTTAATATTTAGTAAACGATAAAGTCTGAATAAAGGTAATCTGAAGTAATATCAGTTTTACAGGATAACGTTTACTTTCTGAAGAAGACAGATTTTTCTGTTCTCATTTAAATGTTGAGTAACACATCTGATTATAAATAGATTTGTATCCTCATCATGTTTTCTTTATTCAGTCTGAGGGGCTGCAGGTTGTCAGAGATCAGCTGTTCTGCTCTGGTCTCAGCTCTGAAGTCCAACATCTATCTGAGAGATCTGGACCTGGGTGAGAACGATCTGAAGGATTCAGGAGTGAAGCTGCTGAGAGATCTTCTGGAGAGTCCAGAATGCAGACTGGAGACTCTCAGGTCAGTTCAATGACTCTCTGTTACTGCTGGAGATCTCACATGTTCACTTTGTCATTTAACCTAATTTATATTCATTAATAACTAACATCCATAAAGTTGTAAATGTCCTTAAATTAATATTTCATTTTACGTAGTAAACGAAGAACTGCAGACATACATGCTGACTGTTTCTTAAAGGAACTGTGATAGATGTTAGATTAAAAAAAATGAATCTATGTTATTAATACTTTGTAAATGATAATGTCTGAATAAAGGTCATCTGAAGTAATATTATTTTTAATTTTTAATAATTTTTTTTAATAAAATTTCTTTATTCAGTCTGAGGAGCTGCAGTTTGTCAGAGATCAGCTATTCTGCTCTGGTCTCAGCTCTGAAGTCCAACCCCACCCATCTGAGAGATCTGGACCTGAGTGAGAACAAGCTGAAGTATTTAATTGTGAAGCTGCTGAGTTCTGGACTAGAGAGTCCAAACTGCAGACTGCAGACCCTCAGGTCAGTTCACTGACTGCAGTTCATATTGATCTGTTTGTGTTTATGATTTTCTGAATTTGAACAAATACATTATAATTATTACTTTTCCGCTGTTGCTAATGACTGAATATTGATCAGAGTAACAGAGAGAAGGTGAATGTGTGAGGGAGAGTGTTTGAGCTTCCACAGACTCACTCTGTGCTCCATGAGTCAGTGGAGATGCTGTCAGTACTGATGAGCTGTGAGGGAGATGAAGGAGTTGTTAAACATCTGATCAAAGTTAAAGTTCCAGATTATCAGTGGATTGTTTCTGCATCATCTCTGACATTAAAACCCTGTTTCACTCTGAACAGATTATTAAACCTGGAGTTATTTCAAACAGGAACATTGTTTTCTAAACTTACATCATGTTTTCTTTATTCAGACTGTGGGGCTGCAGTTTGTCAGAGATCAGTTGTTCTGCTCTGATCTCAGCTCTGAAGTCCAACCCCTCCCATCTGAGAGTTCTGGACCTGAGTTACAACGATCTGCAGGATTCAGAAATGAAGCTGCTGAGAGATCTTGTGGAGATACCAGACTGCAGACTGGAGACTCTCAGGTCAGTTCACTGACTCTCTGTTACTGCTGGAGATTTGAGATATGTTCACGTAATTTAACCTGTTTTATGTTCATTAATAACTAACATCCATAAAGTAGTAAATGTCCTTTTATTCATATTTCATTTTTAAGAGTAAGAAGTAAGAACTGCAGACACACAATGTCTCAGGGCTTCTTAACATTTATGAAACTATTAATGTGTAGCACCAGATTAACGGGAAGAATCTCAGCTAACTGAAGATATGAACCATTTTTACCAAAACAAAACACAAGTCTCATTAGAAGCGTCTAAATGACCCCTGAGCGAAAAAATTCTAACGCACTGCGGCACACAATTCAAGATAAAGATACCCTTATTACTTATCGTAGCTGCACATACAATATAGCCGATTAAAGCTGAGACTCCACTGATTATTTAGGTATAGTATCATCACTGAGCGATCCGAACTTGCGACAGGGGAAGCAAACACAGACATCACAACACGTACTTTTACGGAGCATTTACGGCAGATCGTCTCACCGTAGCTGTCAATTAGGTCAAAAGACGTGTTCAATGGCATTAAAATGAAAAAATAAAATGCTACAACTGTTGATCCATAGGTTGATAATGTACCTGTGCCTTTGAAGAAATTATTTATAATCCATAATTCCATTTTTATATAAAAATCGGAGCGGAAAAGTTAGCTGCTAATGGTAGCCACCAGAGTGTCTACCTTACCATCATCCAAGGGTGGTTTTCACTATAAGTAAAAAATAATTTTTGGACGGACACTATAATTTACAGTTTTTTACTATGTAAAATCTGAATTTTCTTTAAAATAAAAAACATCTATATTGATTCTGACTTTTCTACATCCAACTCACAGGTTTATCATTACTTTGAGATAAAAGATTATTAATTTAACCCTTTTAGAAGGGAAGATATGGTCATTTGTTCTGGGAATGTCATTTTCGAGCCTGAGACCTGAAAAACAGGCTCAGGGCTTAACAGTTTAAAGACTGTAATAGATGTTAATTGTAAAAGGTAACATTTGTTTTTTAAATGCAGTTTTTCTTTTTAATGCAGTTTACTTTCTGAAGAAGACATATTTTATTTTTCTCATTCATTTAACTGTTGAGTTACACATCTGATAATAAACTGATTTGTATCCTCATCATGTTTTCTTTATTCAGTCTGAGGAACTGCTGGTTGTCAGCGATCAGCTGTTCTTCTCTGATCTCAGCTCTGAAGTCCAACATCCATCTGAGAGATCTGGACCTGGGTGGGAAAAACGATCTGCAGGATTCAGAGGAGCTGCTGAGAGATCTTCTGGAGAGTCCAGACTGCAGACTGGAGACCCTCAGGTCAGTAAGGGGTCTCTGCTGGTTCAGCAGTATTGTATGAAACACAGGGAGGTGTTTCTCTCACTGGGGAATCACAACAGATCAGTGATGTTACCCACTGACTGCAGGCTCTTTCATTCTTCCATCAACTATAGAAGGCCAGCTGAAAATGCAATGCCACATTTAGTAAGTAATCAACTTTCCACCAGACATATGGGATTTGACAGAAGAGTGGAAAAGGTAGTCTGTTTTTGATGGGATGTTTTGAGTTTCTAATTCAATTCAATTCAAGTTTATTTATATAGCCCAAAATCACAAATCCTATTTGTCTCAGAGGGCTTCACAAGTCAACAAACACAATTGGCAATGTAAAACATGACTGGGTACTTCCTGTAATGCAGCTGAGAGCTGTGGCAGTCAGTCGTAGTGTTTGCAGAGAAGATATGATGGGATGTAAAGCATGAGATCAGGACTCTGAAGCTAACTCGAAGAACAAACACTTATTTTAAACTGGATCTAAAACTGTTGGATTGTGTTCATCCCTACAGGATCAGAAGAGATGAGACGATCAGAGCCGAGATCCAGAAGAACTGTGAGTACTGAATATCCTCCATTCATCAAGATATGAAACTCTTTAATGGAGCATGTCCTCAGAGGAAAACAACACTCTTGTTTCTCTCTCTTCATCATTTTGGCTGTTTCCCTTTGTTTTATTATCATCATTATTCTCTCTCTCTCTCCTTCTCCTCTCAGGTGACAGGAAGTGAAGACACACAGAAAGGTGAGAGGTCGTACCAAGTGAAGTTTATTTATTGAGGTTTCACCACTGAATAAAATGTAGTTATTGCTCAGTGTTTTTCTGGGATTCAAATCTGCAAGCTCAGGTTTGATTTGTTCTCAGTTCATTTATTTCTAGAGTTTGAGACGTAAAGAGGAGCGTGGAGACATTTAGGAAAATAAAGAAGAAGGCTGCAGCTGATGAGAGACTTCCTGTTAGCTCTCCTCAATATTAAGTGAAGTGACAGTATATTCTCAGAAAGGCTGCAATACAACGTCTGCAACATGACCGCTGACCTCTGTGTCTGTGTTCTGGTGCTGAAGTACAAGTACTCACATCTAGTACTTGAGTACAAGTAAAAGTACTCACATCTAGAGCTTGAGTAAAAGTAGAAGTACTCAGATCTAGTACTTGAGTTAAAGTAGAAGTACTCAGATCTAGTACTTGAGTTAAAGTAGAAGTACTCAGATCTAGTACTTGAGTTAAAGTAGAAGTACTCAGATCTAGTACTTGAGTTAAAGTAGAAGTACATTCAAAAATGATACTCAAGTAAAAGTAGAAAAGTATTGTAGCGTCTTGCTATATGAACACAAGGAGGCTTCGTATCTCTTTTATCCGTGAGTTTATTACTAACTTACACAGGTTACTGTCGGCCGTAACCACGCCAAAAACAATAAAGATGTTATTCGTCACACACCACACCACCTCGATTAGCTCTCTCGTAGCATTTCCTATCTCTCCCTCTAGGAACCTCCCTTTCCGACTCCAAACCAATCAGACGACACTCTCTCACTCACCGAACAGCAACAAGAACTGTCTATCAAACAGTGACACGTTCGCTGACATTCTGTCAAATGTAGATAGACTCTGAACAATAAAACACATGAAAACATCAACAATATAACCAGTCTGTTACTGTGATATCATCAAGTACTCAGATCTTGTACTTGAGTAAAAGTAGAAGTACTCAGATCTTGTACTTGAGTAAAAGTAGAAGTACTCAGATCTTGTACTTGAGTAAAAGTAGAAGTACTCAGGTCTTGTTCTTGAGTAAAAGTAGAAGTACCAGAGTGTAGGAATACTCTGTTACAGTAAAAGTCCTGCATTCAAAATGTTCCTCAAGTGAAAGTATAAAAGTATTCTCATCAAAATATAGTGAAAGTAGAGACAGTAAAAGTAGTCATTGTACAGATTGGTCCATTTCAGAATAATATATATGATATGTTTTATAATGATTGATCATGAAAGTGTTCTCAAAGCTGGTAAAGGTGCAGCTAGTTTGAATGACTTTGTATACTGCAGGGTAGCTTGTGGATTACTCCAGGTGGAACTAAAGTCTGATTTAACACTTGGTTATATTTCACATCATTCATCCACATCTGTGAAGTAACTAAAGGTATTAAATACATGTAGTGGAGGAGAAGTACACCATGTACTTCTGAACTGTAGTGGAGTAGAAGTACACAGTAGCACATGTTAACGGTACCAAAAGTACCTCTAAAGTGTACTGAAGTGCAGTGCTTGAGTAAATGTACTTAGTTCCTCTCCTGATCTGTAAGCTCTCCCAACATATGCAGGTTAGCATCCGGCAGCTTCTATGTGCTGGGGACCCGTACTGTACATTTCTCTCATCACACGTTGGGCTCCTCAACATGTGTGGGTTCCCAGCAGGACTCTCTGAGCTGCAGACACATTCTTTCTGTGACTTTGTTCCAGATATTTGGAGCATAATAACTGAAGCTGTTTCTCCAAGTTCAGGAACTCCCATCCCCCGAGTCCTGCGGCAGGAAGCGCTCCTTCTCTCCAAGAACTCCTGGACCCTGCAAGCTGGTCCAGAAGTTAATTCATGCTTTTCTCATGAATTAACGACTTAAATCGTGTTTCTTTTTCTTGTGTATTTCATAATCCTACAGCATATTTGATTTTTTTTTCATGTAACTTTAAGGCTAAATATTATTTCCTCAGCTCTGTAATAAAAAAACAAAAGTTTAGAATAAATATAAATATGTTGTACTTATATCCCGATGAGTCAGCAGTAAAGCAGCCAGGCGTTAACGGTCAGCTGGCATGTGTATCTGTTCATTGGCTCATATGTGTAGCATGTTTAATGGCAGTGTTTTTAAAATGGCTGACAGGTGAATATGTCAGATCTCTGTGTCTTACTCAGAGATCTGTGTGCAGTGTTTTAGAAAGAGTTGAGTTGCAGATTGTGTGCAGAGCTGAAATGTGTTTAGAGCTCTGTTTGATTTCATCCAGCCAGTTTTGCTGCAGCAAAGCATGAGCAGCAAGATCTCAGCTCCATTGAACCCCCCTGAGAGTTTCCATTGTAGTCTCCTGTTCGGATGTTTAGTTCAACAACATGAGTGAAGAAGAGGACAGCAAGTCTTTGGTCTCAGTGCATGTGGAAGTATTTTAAACAAGAACAAGAGTCCTTTGTTTGGAAGAAACTTCTCTTATCAGGAAAAGTGAGACGAGGGGTCAAACCCACAGGTGTAGAAACCGATGGATTAGCATTCCCTCCTAAACCAATCATGCAGCGGGATTACATTGAAACACAGGTGGTCGCATGCATCTGCCTGAATACCTTTTGTTTCATTTCATTCACATTAGCTTGCTCATATATCCCAGTGACTGCAATATGGCATCTCTTCTCTTCTTCTATCATACACTGTGATGTATTACATTGAATCCTTGTGAATGTGTAATGCTGATGACGGTAGAACCTTGCATGATAACATGTATATAACTTCTGTATTTGTGATCAATATGTAACATGATCAGAAGTGTAGAGTGTAATGGAACATTGTATCATGCTGAGGGAGCATTTCAAGTTCACCATCTGTTCTTCTTCTTCAAGCTCTCTCTAACAACAGGTAGCAGCAAATGTCCTCAATGAGTCATGTTAAGGAATAATTCTTCTAGATATCTAACCTTTTGCTCCGTGACGTTTTATGATCTTCTCTGACGTCTGTTATCTCCTTTAAGGAAAGGCCTTGGTGCCATATGTGTTGTTGTCACCAGTTTGTGACCGGTCAACTTGTCTGGCACGAAGGGTAATTGTTGTGAGAACGCTGAGGCACTTCTTTATCGGTGTTTGTGGACTCTAGGATGTGAAATCTTTGAGGCCATGAGTGTCGGACGCAGGTGGCTCAGTGTTCCCAGCTGTTTAGTCTACTCCTTCAGAGATGTTGATTTCTCTCTGTGAACCAGTTAAAAGGTCTAACATAGAGAGAGGCTCTTCAGAATTGACGTGGCAACTCTACCGTGTGGTCAGAACCTCTGACTCTTTGACTTGTGATGTGAATCCTCCGGCCGAATACTCTGAATAAACCCATCAGTGTTTGACATCAAAGCTCCAACTCTCACCGTGTCTCCTTCCTGAGTCGGTGACTCCATGCATTGCTACACAGAAGTTTCCTCCACAAGTCATACATGGTGTTAGAGGTTAGTGGTCTTATCTTTTGTGGACAGACGTGATGTTTCTCCATTTCCTAGCAGACGTGTTTAAAAGAATCCTATATATAGTATGTTTATCTGTTCTGTGTGTCTCAGCCCCTCCTCTTGTATTCTTGGTGTGAACATGTGAACATGTGAACATGTGAACATGTGAACATCAGACCCTCTGCAGACCTCCTGATGCAGACTGCTTGACTCTGTAATCATTTACCTTCTTTCAGAATAAACTCCCTCAAAGACCGGCTTATTCCACGAATCTTCATTTCAGTGTAACGGAAAGGTTTCCTCTCCATTTTATTATTATTTGTTAAATATAATCTTTCTTTAATATAATTGTATTTGTTTCATTTATATTTGATCAATACTTTACAATCAATGTAAATATATTTATATAAACATAAAAGTCAAATAAAAGATAGAATAAAAAGAGAATATTTATATAAACACATGAAGTTATAATTGCACATTGTACTAACATTTATAACAAGTATATTACAATTTATAAAACGGACAAGTCAAATCAAGCAATCTGATTGGTTCTTAGCCGTGATATACTGAGCGTATACCACGGGTAGAATTGTAAGTTACTTTTCACAACAAGTCAGTATCCCTCCGCGTCTGAGAAAACAGTATACAGTTGGGCTGAAAAGCAAACTGCTTCGCGTCGGGCCGAACCACGCCCCTTAACTGTTAACTGTTTAATATATTTGTTACGTTCCCTCCTGGACTAGGGGAACCAAAGGGAAGTGACAACAATATAAAATAACCGGGCGAGAGAAAAGAGGAGACTGAGTTGTGACGTCACAAGATGGTCTTTAATGAATAAAAGAGGCTCACCAGCCAACTTGCAAAACAAACTTAAGGTAAATTAGGAGCAACTTTCTTCTAAAAGAAAGTGACTAAATGACTTATTATTAACACATTACACAAAGATACACTGGAGCACGTCTCCTAACAATGAACACATCACACAGGTGAGACTAGCAGGCCTCACACAGAGACTGAAACACAGGTGAGACTAGCAGGCCTCACACAGAGACTGAAACACAGGTGAGACTAGCAGGCCTCACACAGAGACTGAAACACAGGTGAGACTAGCAGGCCTCACACAGAGACTGAAACACAGGTGAGACTAGCAGGCCTCACACAGAGACTGAAACACAGGTGAGACTAGCAGGCCTCACACAGAGACAGAGACACAGGTGAGACTAGCAGGCCTCACACAGAGACTGAAACACAGGTGAGACTAGCAGGCCTCACACAGAGACTGAAACACAGGTGAGACTAGCAGGCCTCACACAGAGACTGAAACACAGGTGAGACTAGCAGGCCTCACACAGAGACTGAAACACAGGTGAGACTAGCAGGCCTCACACAGAGACTGAAACACAGGTGAGACTAGCAGGCCTCACACAGAGACTGAAACACAGGTGAGACTAGCAGGCCTCACACAGAGACTGAAACACAGGTGAGACTAGCAGGCCTCACACAGAGACAGAGACACCATGCAGCCAGAGGAGAAGGAGAGAGCGACTACAGCCTTCCTCAAGCGTCACCTGGAGGGAGGGAGACACACACAAACACAACACGGCAATAAGTAACAATATTATTCATTTAATTTAACATAATTGAATGAATGTCATTTAATATATGTTATTTTAATTGAACTTCTTATTTTTATATAAAACATTTTATATAAAAATAAGAAGTTGAATTAAAATGTAGAATACAAATGAGTTATTTATATAAACACATGAAGTATAATAAATATAATAAATATATAACATGTGTATTACAATATGTATTGTTAATAATAACAACATATTAATGCTTAACTGCACAGTTAAATGTATTATAAATATTTAAAAACACGTATTTATAGTAGATTATTCTGAGGACTTACCGGGGGGGGCCAGGAGCTGAAGAAGAAGAGACAAAGAACATATTAAACATCAGAAATAAAACCTTCTGTTTCATAAACACAGATTCATTTAACGATGTTTGGAGCAACCGTTAGTCTGAAGCGCGATGAGATAACCCCCGATTATCAGCATGGAGTCACGGGTTAATCAGGAGATAGTTTGCATTAATGTGTTTAATTAAGTGCAACGTCTTTCACTCAATACTTAACAATGAAGGCACAGAACTGCACTTAATCACATGCATGAAAAACAAGCAGAAAATCATGCGTAAGAATTATAACTAGGGCTGTCAGTCGATTAAAATAGTTAATCGCGATTAATCGCAAATTGATCGGGCATTATCTGTTCTAAATGTACCTTAGAGGAATATTTTTTTAAAGTTCTTAATACTCTTATCCAGGGGCGGACTGGGAACAAAAAATCGTCCCGGGACTCTCGACCGGCACACTTCGGTACCGCTAGTAAATTGTCAACAGGGGGGGGGGGGGTGCTAGTGACTTATCCGCTAGTAAATACCACTAGTAAATAGTCAACGGTGTTTATTATCATTTGAACAATGACAATCTCC